TCCTGTAGATAGATTTCAGGTTTGAGGGGCTTAAAGGGCAAAACGCATAATTTCAGTTTTTGAAAACTTGAGATAACTAAAATTAGCCTTAAAATTTATTCTGCAGAAAATTCACTGCGGAAATCCAAATTTTAAGCATCTTTGAGTTCAAACTTCCTTTTCACCATCGGGCTCCGTGTTGCTTTTAAAACTTTGAACGCGTACTTTTCGGAATAGCAGCAACTGCTTTGATGTGCCTTAACCTCTAAGCCCCTCACATGTAGTACCGGGGAATTTTTAAAATCATCCATAAGTCCGTCTCTGGATCAACCAATTGTGTTCTCAATCAATTCCTGACATCAATACATCGAAATTTATTCACAATTGGAGACGATGCTTCACAACTGAATTCAAGGCAAAAAAAAGTACTCATTGTACCTGAACCCTGCACTGAATAAGAAAAGCAGACTCACAAATTTTACGGAATGCACTTTTACTGACGTTGTAGTCAATACTCGTTTTTTATTAAATAACCTCAAAAAAATTAGCCGGCATTTTCTCCTGCAACTGCCGACCGGAGGCTACGTCCAAAACTTTTGTGTGGATATTTCTCTATGTGTACTTAGTACTTCCAGCGTAATTATGTGAAATTACAAAATCAATTTTACGATTTCATCCTGAAATTCAGCAGAATCGGTACCTTCTTGAAATTCGAAATGCAACACAGGAAGCCTAGCAGGGAGCGCGCATTCCCTCTCAACCTCATCTCATGACATATCTACCGAACACCCCGAGAACTTTGACCTATCTTCCTCCCGCTTATTGGTCCCAGGTCCCAGAACCGTTGAACTAAGGAAGTTAAGTTCCTCAAACGTTCATCCATCACTTCTCGGAGATCTCGCGTGCCCGACAAAGCCACGCGTACGACATGACGTCATCAGCTCTGCGCAATGCGGGTGACTACTCCTAACACTCCTACTCCTAATTGTGTCTAATTGCTCAATAACGACACCCTTTGTTGACTTATATCACATCGACGGACGGTGGCGCGACGCGTGCTAACGTAGGTCCTCAAGAGATCACGTTTCCAAGGAAGGAAACGGAAAATCATTATTTTTCATCCAATGGTCGCGAAATACCGAAGATTTAAAGTACGCTGCACACATAAAATATTCTATAGAGCAAAAATTATTTGCGATTTCAGCCGAAAAATGTCCCGATTCTCCTATTAAGCTTCCTGACTGCACATGAGAGACAAACGTTCCTATTGAAACGACAATTTAAAAAACAATCGCGCTTTCCTGTTTTTCGAGTCGTAATTTTTTTTGCCTGGAAAAAGTTTTGATCGAAAAATTTCCTCATGTCATACGCGACCAGATTAATGCGCATATACTTAGTGGTGTTCTTCACTGAAATTTTCAAGTCAAGCACAGAAGGGAACATTTTCATGCTTTCTGGATTGATCATTTTCAAATTTTACGCCTAAACAATGAATGGCTGTGCCGTAGAAGCCCTCGTTACAGCCCGCACTTTTCGAAGAAAAGGGAGGATTTCATTTGACCGTGTGGTTTAATAAATGCGTCTGATTTCTATGAGTGATATTGTGACAGCAACGTTCTGTGGCGCCTGTATTACGCCTCAATACGATAGTTCTCGCCAGTCAAAGACCTCAAAAACGAAGCGTGCAAAAAATGATGGCGCGTAGAACCGCGAAGTGGAGGCGAATCTGGATTGAAAAGTGTAAACAAAAACACGTAATTACCCGCTTGGAAGCTTGCAATGTATATCTGCTCTAACTAGTGCGCGTCTTACCGAGAATCAGAAGAAAAGAATCTTCCTCTTCAAGTTCAACGGATGACAAAGCACTTAACATACTCGTTTATTTAACGCGATGTTTCTGGTGACAACTTTTACTCGCATCTACTCATGACGACGTAGGTATGCTGGAAAAAGTCTCCAGCAATGGTTAATTTTGCGAATTGAGTCTATCGTACTGGACATTAAACTTTAAGGTGGAGAGAGTCATAATTTCAATTTACGATTGAAGTTAAGTAATTAATAATTGTAAATACTTATACTCCGTTTGAAAAAACATTTTTGAACATTTTTATCACATATGATCAATGACTTCGTGATGAATTTTAATGAACGAGGTGGCGTAAAAATTAAACTAACTTTCTGTATGTAATTTTAGTGTGCTGCCGGCGATTCATGCGCTAACTGTAAATATCATGAGAATTTCTGAGGGTGCTCTTCATGGTCAAACTGAGATAACACCCCCTGCAAATCCTCAAACAACGACTTGATACCACTATTCGTGGTCCAGGGATGTGCGTGTTGCGTACCAAAAACTGAAGGCGTTTTGCATACCGACGACACGCGCCGTGCACAGGAAAAAACACATTGGATCTAGAGTCCAGACTCTTGAAAACATTGACAAGAAAAAATGCTCTTGATTCAGTCAGATTTAAGCTTAAATCAAAGGGAAATCCGCTCAAATTAAGAGGCTTGGTTCTTGATTTAAGCAAAAATCCGATTGAATCAAGAGTATTTTTTCTTGTCGATGTTTTTAAGAGTCTGAACTCTGGATCTAATGTGTTTTATTTTTTTCCAGTGTGATACAAATCTCACCGAAATTTCTAATATCATACCTTTTAACTTTTCAGATAAAATATGAACATTCCCCTATGAAATTGTCGATCAAATCGCGACTGAAATTCAAGAGAAAAGCTCTTCGCTTTTTCTTTTGAATTTCAGTCGCGATTTCTCAACGCAAAAATCGGCTTTGTCGGAAGAACTTCGACGTTCCTGCGTCAATATTACATTGCTCTAGGGAATGTGGGTGGGCACGCTCCAGCACGCAGCAAGTGTTATCTTAGCCGCGGCGAGTTGGACGGGATGACTGCGGATGGAGCACAACTTCCGCAATCCCTGCGGGCCCCTCCCGCTTGGAACAAAAGCAGCGACAAGTGACTGGTGGGCCCCTCCCCTCCTGATCCCTGTTGACTCCCTCGCCACTCACACGCACTCACTTGTTGCTCGCGCCCCGTGGACCGGATGCGATGACCGGGCGGAATACGATTCACCGACGGTGAATGAATCACTGTTACATTATTCGGATAACGCTCGATTGACGTTGCGCAATAACGGCTCGTAACGCGAGGAAAATTGCTGATGATTAGATGGGTGCGCTGGGCTGGTAGTGCTGACGGAGGAAAAATTATTTCGCTGTGATGCTGCCTCTGAGAGACTCGACTGCGGTGCCAAAAATCGTCTTTTTCACTGGCAGGAAAAAAATTCCCATTTTCCCTCTGACATAGCGTTACGAATTTGTAACGGGGTTTTGGAGGTTTTTAAAAATTGATTCTTTTCTCTGTGGCATGATTTTGCAAATTTTCATTAGTTTTCTATTTTTTGTAATAACTGGTTTTCCAAACATTAAAAATTTCAAAAAAATTTGGTGCTCTATGATTTTTGGGTAGGCTACAGAATAGATTAGTATCCCCCAGAATCTGAGTTCCAAAATTAATTCATGGCATAGAGGGTTAAATCCGGCTGTATTCTCCAATTTTCGACTGCCTGTATGCTCGTCCCCTGGAAAACTCAACAATTCAGAGATGAGAAGATTATACTATTTCGCGCCTTCCGAATAATTTTTTACTCACAATCAGAGCTTAATAAACGCGGAACAGCTAATTTAGAAGTGAGGTGATATTAGAACAGAGATAGGTAGAAAATTTTCGGCTTATAGCGTACTATTTTCCGGGATTCTTCTGCTGAATTTTGGTGACACTCAAATTTTCAGACCTTTCAGACGATTGACTCGACAAAATAACCGATTGACGAGAGGGGATTCACCCCCATCTTAAACTGCAGGAAATGGAAACGTTTCGCAGATTCGTTGGTCCGGACTAATAATCGCTTCAATATTACTTGGATACAGAATCAGAAGCTGGAATAGTTGCGCATTAACTTTTCAAGTTACATTGTGTCACGCGCAAAAACGCTCGCTCCAGACAAAAAGGATTTCCGTGTATGGAGAAATTTAAAGTAAAGTGATGTGGAAGTGGATGAATCTCTATCTACTTTGGAGTAAAAGGCTATCGTTAGTGACAAATATACGGAGCGACGCGGTTTTAATGAATGATTCGTCATTAAACAAAGACGAATATTTTGTATTGCTAGATGAAACAGGACATAGAAATTGGGTAATTAGTTTCCGTCTAGACACAGGTGATTATCAATTCTGGCAGATCAGTTGATATGATACATTCACTCAAGACAGCGCTGGAATTTCACTATCAGGAAAAAGAGGAGAAATTATATGGACAGTTAACTCGAATTTAAGAGAAGCTTATTTTAAGTACCTACCGACTAAGTACTTGATTATAACGCGTCGGGCTTCTTCGCGGGAAAAAATTAGAGAAAATCCTAACCAGAAACTATGGTGACGTGAATCTGGATCATGGTGTCCAGAACCCGACGATAATTCGTTCATTTCTAGTTTAACGGGGAAAAAATATGTTGGAGGACCGCATTCGGGGCGTATTCTCCCTCTTCAAGTGAGATTCTCTTGGAAGTACCTACAATTTTCACTCGACCAAGATATTGGCGTTCTTTAGGTAGGTAATCGCAAACTGTAGGACGCCGAGTCCGAGAGATCGTTGAATTTAAAAAGCAAAATGGTCTCGGAGCGAACATGTGAAGGTCTGAAACACCATCGGGGTTGTTTTACACTGATCAGGGGCGGATTGACACCGGGAGTTATCGGGAACATCGGTTCATCAAAGATAAGATACCTAGATTCTTTTTAAGTTTTTTTCGCGGCGTGAGGGCCTGTGGGGGGCCAACCGGAAAAACTCATCCTAGAAATCCATCAGCCGGCTGGGGGTTTTCCGGCTTTCCCGCCTGCCGTTCCTCCCCCTTAAAATGTTTGAGTTCCCTATGAAGCCCGGTTTTGATTAGTCCTAGACACCATAATCCAGATCGCTCGTCCCAAAATCAAAGTATCGGATACATACCCTGCGCGTATCGCTGGGCTTCCTGGCATTGGACATGGCTGTCGTGTCCGCGGCTGTCACAGGGCTCGAGTGGGTGGAATCTCCTCCACACGGCACAGCGGCGAACCCCGCCGAAGAGGTGACGGCTCCGCCACCGGCGACCATGCTGAATAATCCAATCACAGACACAACACAATCTCACTAACAATCGGATCGGAAACCGATCGCCGACACTATCATCGAACAAAATCACCGGCTGTGAGTTTCATGGGTCAAAGAAAGCACAGTTCACAAATCGAGGGAAACACAGTTTTCGAATTTTCGTTGACGGAAACACAATTTTCTAAAAGCACAGAGCGCGAGTCACGTTGGTTGAAGACGCCGCGATCTTCGGCGAAATCGGGAGAGATCGAGTCGGCGTGCTGCGCGTCTCGTGGTTGGTGCGGAACTGGCGGGAGCGCGGGCACGGAGAGATGAGCTGGCGCTGGCGACTGATACTGCACCCTGGCGGGCGGGCCGGGCGGCGCGGCGCGGCACGGCGACTTGGGTCGGTGCCTCGTGGCCGGTCCCGCTGGTGGGGATAAAAGGCCTGCTAGTCGCGTGGTGCTGAATTATAGTCGCCGTTGTGAGGATCGCGCTGACGTGAGCCTCTGCGCCCGAACCGGCCGAGGCGGGCGTCTAGGATGCGCCGCGCGGGATTCGTCACACGACGCTGTTGCCAAAGTCACTAGAAAATAATCGAAAATCAAGATGCAGCAAGTTGATCGATAAAGCTATAGACAGAGAGGACTAATGGGAAATTGAGCGATCCTATTTGTGGGAAGCGTTTAGTTGCAAGAGACGAAGGAGGTCCACGAACAGACTAACAGCGACCCTCAAGAGCCCTACAGTTAATTCACCATTTTCCTTCTTAGTCTATGACGACCACCCGTTTCAACCAATAGGATCGTTCCATTTTTCCTTTCTTTACTTATTTAAATAAATTTACGTAAACACTACAAGAATAAGTCTTGTATCTATCTACATGCTTTAAATAGGTTGAATTAATTTCATCAAATATACGAAGGAACGTTAGATAATAAAATCATTATCTGAGAAACAGTAATTATAAAATTCTCTCTTATTTTCCTTTTTTTTTTAGAAATATTAAGACATACAAGTCACCAGATTAATTAATTAACTTTCTTCCTTTTGCACTCCATTCACACTCTCAGTCATACCTAGATTTCCACTCGCAAACTAAATCTTGATGGGAGTTCGAAGGCCTGCCACCTGTTTAATCTTAAATTTCCCTTTAGCTTCTTTCTCTGTCGTTATGTCTATTACTTTGTCTATCAATTTCAACAATCAGCCCGCAAGGAAGAGACCGCGGACTCACGGAGACGTCATACCACTATTCCGACTTCCAAGATGATAAAATTGCATACTCACAAAATGAAGGAAAACGTGAACTCTTTTTGGCTGACGCAGGAGACTTTAACGCATGGGTAGGAAAGTTGGATGGAGCACACGTGATACAAATGTTTTGACTTCCAAGAAGACAAAATTGCATTTACAAAAAATGAAGGAGAATATGATGCTCTATATCATTCCGACTATTTGATTCCTCTAACTCAACTTTCAGTTCGTGTAACTGAACGTCCGGTTCGTATAACCAATTTCATGAGGTGAAAAGAGCTGATGAGAGAAACTTCGGTTACACGGACCGAATATTTTCAATTTTTATAAAACTTTTGCGAAACCGTTAACTCTCTTTAAAAAATGTTGCGTAAGTGTTGAATTTTTTATAAAATTTTTATTGAAATTTTGAATTTTCAGAAAATCAATGCGGTCGCGTTGAATTTTTAGAAAATTATTACGAACTCCCCATTTTTTTTTTAATAAAAATCACTGCGAACGCGCAACGGCATAGTGTGTGGGCTGAAATTCTGGTTGCTGGAAACTACGTGGGCCAAAGAACTTGGAAGGTCTGTCGCTTTTCGTAAAATTGGCAATAATAATAATATGAAAAACTACTAGTAATGTTTCACGAGGTAATGAATTGATGAATTTTACAATTAACTCTAAAAAATGGGGGAGTCATGCGTCTCATGTTAGGCAGGACAGTCGCATGTTCTGCATTTGCACAAGGCAGCAGTATGCACAATTGCACAGCTCTCTTGCAAGGTGATAAGGACTTTGGTACTGTTTTAGTGGAAACGGCGTCAATTTCTATGGATTCACGGGTTTGTCGATCGATTCACGGGTATGTCCATCGATTCAACAGTTTTTAGATCAACTCGCGGGTTTTGGCGATCGACTCCCGGATCTGTCGCTCAAATCACGGGTTTGTCGATCGATTCCCGGATCTGTCCATCAAATCACGGGTTTTTGACCTATTCACGGTCCTGTCGATCGAGTCACGGTAGTCGGTCAAATCCCGTCTGTTGGTTCAAGTTTTTATTTCTCGATCGATTCATGTCGATCGAATCGACACCAGCAGCCAATCAGTTCACATCGTCGCGATTTTATCGCTCGATCGGTCCACGTAGATCGATTCGCGTTTTTATTTTTCGCTGGAATCATGTCGATCGATTGCACCGAATTTATCGAGTGCATCTCCTGGTGAGAACTGGCGGCGTCGCCTTCCGCGGCCCTCCGCACGTCCGCGCAACAGGTAGTATCTGATGAGCCCCCGCCCGGCTGCAGCCTCCCCGACGCGGAGCTCCGCCGAGATACAAATCTGTCCGCAGGTAACTCTACCTGTGTCGGTTCACCGCCGCGCCCGCCGCACAGTGGACCGAATCAATAAGAGAGGTCGGACAAAATTAGGATACTCTGAAAGCTCATAACTCCGTTTCCTCGTGTAATTTTCCTGCAGAGGCACCCCTTGGAATTTAAAATATGATAGAATGAACATCAAAATTTCCTCTTTTTAGTCAAAAACGTCATGTCCAACGTCTTTGATCGACTCGATCCACTGTGCGGCGCGGCGTGAGAACGCCGCCCCTCCCCCCTGGGCATCGGCCGCGGCTCGGGCATTCCCATCCAGTCGTGCCTTTCCCGCCGATTCGAGTCGTTTTCGACGGTCGCCCGCCACCCGCCACCACCCTCTCTTTCCCCGTTTCCACGTTTCACGCACCCTCGCGTCCACGTCCGTGAGATTGCCCTTCCTCGCTTCGTCGTCCGGTCCGGCCTACCTTTTCGCGAGAGGACGGGAGCTCCATCCAATCCGTCGGCCCGGGAAACTCCACGTACTGAGAGGGACTCGAAGTCACTCCTAGAGACAATATCTCAGCCCAGAGACAGGGTTTACAAAGGATCACTAGACACGGTAAGCATCGAATAAGCACATGATTTATTTCGACGGTGTAAGTCGACAATCACATAACTCGGTTTGCGACGTCGCAGACTTCCTGTTATACTTTATTTTTTGAACGGAAAACTACTCAACGGCAATTATTTAAAACGGTCGTGGTTTTTCTTCTCTGCGCGAAGAAAATTCTGCAAAAACTTCAAGGAATGATGTCAATTTGTTCCCCTTTAAAAAATAATATGGAGGTGGAGATTTTCAGACACCGCAAACGAGATATGTGACTGCGGAATTACGCCGTCGATATCTCGTTTGCGGTGTCTGAAAAGCTCTGCCTCTCTATTATTTTTTTAAAGGAGAACAATTTTGCATCATTCCTTGGAGCTTATGCAGGATTTACTTTGCACAGAGAAGGAAAATCAAGGAAATTTTAAAGAATTACCGTTGAGTAGTTTTCCGTTTAAAAAACGACGTCGCAAATTGAGGTATGTGATTGCTGACTTATACCGTCTATATTTTCCATTATACGCATTGTTTCTGTTTTTCTTTCTTCCAAGTATGGCAGAAGTTAAGCATCAAATCGGCCCAAACCAGCCGCTAAACTCTGATTTCATTAATTTGTTCTTCATTCATTTTCATATGAATAATATGAAATTTTCAGCCAAAAAACTCTGCAATGGAAGAAATTATTTTTCCGAATCCTGTTCATCTCATCACTATCGACTAGACTAAACGGACAGAGAGTTACATCATCGATCGGCCGAGTATCGAGGAGCAGACCCAATTAATTAGTCGAAGTCGAATAAAAAGCTGTTAAACGTGGCTCTTCCGATCTGGACGCGCGAACTGATTGTGTTGTGAGTCGCGGTCGCAGCCGCTAATCGGCGATCGCTTTAATTAGACGCGGGAACAAACAATCCGAGTCATTATCGCCAGCCGTAGCGTTGCTCGTCGCGACGGACGAGTCGCCGAGCAGACAGACGTCGTCGTCGGCGCGACGGTAATCAGTTTCCAATCAGCTGATCCACGGCCACTCGCGTCGCCTCGTCGCCCGACGGCCCGACTGATTGTGTTCAGTGTGTGTCATGTTCACGCTTAATGCAGTCCCGCCTGGCGCGACATTCAATGATGCATCAATTTGGCAACTATGCTTTCTCTTCGTGTAAACCTTCAATCGATTCTCGGAGGGGCCAGCGGGCTGATTGTTGAAACTGATAGACAAAGCTATAGACACAGAAGACAGAAGGGGTATGGAGGGACCCTATCGGTGGAAGCGGGTGATTGCTTGTTATGCAATAATGGAAGGAGGTATTATTTATAATATAGACTAACTAACGGCAAGACCCGCGCGAGAGACTCTAAAGTTAATGTATCAGAACCACCCGTTTCAACCAATAGGATCGCTCCAATTTCCCTATGTCTTCTTTATCTATAGCTTTGTCGATCAATTTTAACAATCAGCCCGTAGATGCACCAACAAAAAGCGGTTATTCAACACAGGTTTAAATGCGCGAAAAGGAATCAATGGCCAAAGTTCAAAACCGCGTACGTATCCTCGTTTGCGTTGAATGCGACGTTGCAGATTTTTTTTTACTTTATTTTTCTTTGGAAAACTAGTCGACGTGATTTCTTTCAAATTTCCTACCTGTTGCCTGACTTTTCTGTATATCCGAGTCATGAAGTTAAGTTGTTCGTCCTCGAAAAAATTAAAGTATGAGCGGAAATTTTGAAATATCGGAATGGAGTATACACGTGGCTTCGCATTTTAGACATCGAATATGTTGCCATACCACTGGATTCTCATCTGTGGCACGGCAAAGCACTTATTTCCTATCGCACGCTCTCTCTTTTGACAAGAGATTTAGAAAAGTCGAACTTCAATATCACCGTGTTAAGAAAGAGCACGGTATTTGGAGGATCCACTTCTTGAGATATTCGGACAATCTTTCTCTCAAAATATCTGATAAAAAATGACATTGATGAGAGTTTTAAACTATTTAAGTAAGGCTCAGATTTATATATTCACTAAAAGATCGGAAAAGGGGAAAATTCCGACCATATAATCTTCCCTCGGGTGAGGGAGCGAGAGAGTACACAAAAATGAAGAAATTATAGTTATACTGACAGAGAATCGTGGCATAAAATTTAACATTGTCGGGAAGTCGAGGTGAGAAACTGACAGCGTACGCAAAATAAGTACCCCAACTCCTTGATACAAATATTCGACCTTCGCGGTTGTGCGTGAAGCATACTCAAAACTTGAAGGCGTTTTGGATATGATGGCCCAAGGAGCATTTTATGAAACGGGTTTTTATGAGTCGCTGATAATATTTTTTGTTTCAATGAGAAAGATGCAGAAAGCTGTAGAGTGCTCTCTGACACAACAACGGCAAAACTCGTCCCCTTTGGGGGAAAAAACCAAAAACAAAAATACAATAGTTATGAAAAAGCATTAATTGCGCACAGAGGGGCCTCTCATAAGATTCCTATATGATTACCCTTTCCTATCAAAACATGCAACAGGAGCGCTTGGAAAACGGCATAGTCACTTCAAGCGTTACCCAAAACGCCTTCAATATTTCGGGTATGCAACGAGGACAAAAGTCAAGTATTGATAGTTGCAATGCCGCGCTTGTGGACTCGTCGGGTCTTTCGTGAACTGCAAAGACTTTTATCTTTGACGTACATTTTACGCACTTGACTTTCAAAAAAAAAAAACTTCAAAACCCTCTACACAACTTCAGTTTTTCCATCTAAATCCTGCAATTGAAAATCTATTTTTTCTGAGAGTGTAATCTCTAAGAGTAGTGAGGAGTCTCCACATAAGTACACAAGTTCAGTACGTAAGTTCGGCAAGACACTTTCTTCATGATCTTATGTCTCAGAGTAGCCCACGGTTTGGGTCGATTTTACACAAACTTGTGTTGAGCAACCAAGTCCTTTATCTTGACTTGACACAAAAAAGTAACACAGAGTGACGTCAAACACGGAAATTTTTAACTGTACACACATACTACTTATAACAGCAACAGTAAGTAGTGCTTACATAAACAGGTCATTTTCTAAACTTTGTGTTTAATTTGTGTGTATCGATTTGAATAAAAGATAGACTGTAACGATTAGAAAATTATAATTTAATTTTAGATTCCGAGGAAATCATGATGAGAGAAATCTTAGCTGGTTGGAGGTGCACCTCCAAACCCGTGAGATTTTTAGACCTAAATAATTCAACGTAAGTTTCACCGTGCACAAAGTGATTTGGTTCACATCGATCGGCGAGAGAAGTGGCAAAAAATGAAGTAAAAATGAAACCAAACAAGCAAACAAAACAGTCAAGGAATCGTGTAAAATCTGCTGAATCGTACCGATCAAATATTTAACAGCCACTTTTCGGGTCCGAAAAATTAGGGTGGTCTTTTACCTGCACTACTCCGGAAGTTCGCCGTTAGACCGGTGAAAGTCTTTGAATAACTTGAGAGGGATCGACTTGGAATAAAAATATTCGTATTGTGTTTGCTTTCTCGAGAAAAAAACCGGAGATACGAGAAGTGTTCGCCATGTATAATAGGAGAAGGAAGTACAAGTTTACGAAATAGAATCGTAAAAAAAAAGAGCTATCGATTTCACTTTCATCAATCGTGGAAAAAATGCGTATGCATCCTTCTCCACTGAGTTGCATCTCAGAATTAAAGGATCATATGCATATTCAACATTCACAATATAAAATAATAGTGAATATAAAGAATGATGTAAATGCTGTGATCCGCATTCTTCTATTTTAGGCTCTTATTCACAAGGAGGATTCATAAAGAAAAAAACACGAAACATACACACACGTTAAGTGTCTACACCTTGGCAGAGATATTGCTTAAAAATCAGTCAGGTAAAGTAGATTGTTGTATTTACGTCGCGTGGCAAAAAGGAAAGTCAGGCATTTTTTCAAATGCCTGGGCAAATAGTTGCAGGTATTCTAATTTATATTGAAATTCTGATTCTTTTTCTAATTTTAGACAGAAAACTTCATTGCTCCTGCAAGAAAGCATTCTCCGTAAAAGTATTGTATCAAACAATAGTATTTTAAACGATTTTTAGCTCCTTAACAAACATCTATCTTGAAATTTTCAGCATTTCATAAAATACAGAATTTTTAAAATTATAACACTTAAATATATGAAAAAGAATTTGTAAAAGGAGAAAAAAGATGAGCTTGTAGACTTGATGATTATTTTTCCCATTATACTGACAACTCGTAAAAATCTTTTACGTAAATTTATATTAAATATAATAAACCGTCAAAATTTGAATATGTTATATGCGTCAGAATTAACTAATTGCCTGCGACATTTANGCTGCCCGCCTGCCACGGCGCTTGAAGCAACTATTTCACACCAGAGGTATTGCACAGTATCATACGAAACTGAAGGCGCTCTAATATATTAGTAATGGCAGGCATCCATCAAAAGCACGGAACTTTCCTCGCAAAATAAATCAAGATACTACGTTCCAAAAAGAGAGCAGTATTCCAAAAAACTCACTGAGTCCTAGCATCCGTAATTAGTAACGTTTAGCATACACTTTATCGCCTGGCTGTTGCTTAATCGCCATCGGCTATAAAAGGCTGTAAGAAATTGTGTAGCCGGCTATAGAAGCTATTGGAAATCTTACAGCTGGCCGTAGGTTCATGGTATTTTGGAACACAGATTCTAATGCCAATTTTTACCAGGGTGGTTTTCTCACCTTTAACACTTTATTGTTTAAAAACAAAGCTCTTTCCAAAGCTCTTTTTAAACAATAATGTATTAAAGGTGAGAAAACCAGCGATGGGTCAATTGCGCTGGTCATAGAATCGTATTTTAATTCTTATTTCTTGTGGGTGAGCGAAAAATAATAAGATCCGTCCGAACAGCAACTTTCTACGTTCAATATTGACCGAGATATCGCACTTTGGAAAATTCGGTTTAAGACGTCATCCACCGTGGTAGTGACATCTTTGGTTTCTCCCACCTTGCTTTCATCCGAAA